CCACCATGCCCAGCTAATTTTTTGTATTTTTAGTAGAGACGGGGTTTCACCATGTTGACCGGGATGGTCTCAATCTCTTGACCTCGTGATCCACCCGCCTCGGCCTCCCACAGTTCTGGGATTACAGGCTTGAGCCACCGCGCCCGGCCAGTCTTGAACTCTTGACCTTAAGTGATTTGCCTGGCTTGGCCTCCCAAAGTGCTGGGATTACAGGTGTGAGCCACCATACCCAGCTTTTACTTTCCTTTTTACTAGTGATGCTAGCACAGAAAGAGCAACCAAATTTTTAAATGGCCAAACTATTTGAACAGATTTATTTTTCCAAAGAAGATATACAAATGGTCAATAAACACATGAAGAGATGCTCACTATCATTAATCATCAAGGAAATGCAAATTCGAATGGCAATAATAATAATAAAACAGATAATGTGTTAGTAAAGATGTAGAAAAACTGTAACCTTCACATGTTTCTGGTGGAAATGTAAAATGGTGCACTTACTTTGGAAAACAGTCTGGAAATTTCTGAAAATATTAAGACACTTTTGTCACTAGACAATTTGTAAACATTTTGACTACATTAGGAGTTGGTAAGGATGTGGGAAGATGGAAGCTTCTCAGGCCTTGTAGGTAAATGTGTATGTGTTATGTGTCAGCCAAGAAAGGAAATATTTATTGATTACCTAACACATCTCAGGCACTGAGCATGGGACATAAGAGAGGAACTGAAAGGGGCCAAGGAAATATTTAGCAGAGAGCTAAATGACAAAGAAGAGTCAGCCCTGAAAAGGACAGGAGAAAGCATCTTCTAGGAGGAAATATAAAGCCCCTAAGATTTAGCCTGCTTGATGCAGAGTGTGGGAGGCAAAATAATGGCCTCCTAAAGATGTCCACGTTCTAACCCCTGGAACCTGTGAATATATACTCTTTCATGGCAAAAGGGACTTTGTAGATGGGATTAAATTAAGAATCTTGAGATGGTAGATCATCCTGGATGATCTGGGTGGCCCACTGTCTTCACAGGGTCCTTATAAGAGGGAGGCAGGAGGGTCAGAGTAGAGAGAGGTGGGAAGAGGCTGCACTGCTGGCTGTGAAGATGGAGGAAGGGGCCATGAGATGAGGAACATAGGTAGCCTCTAGAAGCTGGAAAAGGCAAAAGGAAATATATTCTCCTCAAGAGCCTCTAGAAGGAATGCAGCCCTGATGACATCTTGATTTTAGCCCAGTGAGACCCATTTTCAGACCTGTGACCACCAGAACTATAAGATAATAAGTGGGCCAGGCATGCTCATTCTTATCTGTAATCCCAGCACTTTGGGAGGCTGAGGCAGGTGGATCACTTGAGGTCAGGAGTTTGAGACCAGCCTTGCCTACATGGTGAAATCTCGTCTCTACTAAAAATACAAAAATTAGCTGGTCATGGTGGCGCACACCTGTAATTCCAGCTTGGGAGGCTGAGGCACAAGAATCATTAGAACCCAGGAGGTGGAGGAAGTTGCAGTGAGCTGAGATCATGCCACTGCACTCCTGCCTGGGCGACAGAATGAGGCTCTATCTCTAAATAAATAAATAAATGTTGTTTTAAGTCACTAAGTTTATGTTCATTTGTTGTAGCATTAGTAGGAAACTAATTCAGAGAATGTAGCTTGGAAGAAATGTCAGGGTTCTTTCCTGGCTCTATTAAGTTTGCAAAGTCCAGACATGTAGGAAATAACTGTTAAATAAATTAGTCAGGCCTGGTGGTACATGCCTGTAGTCCTGGCTACAGGGGAGACTGAGGTGGGAGGATCCCTTGAGCCCTGGAATTTAAGGCTGCAGTAAGCTATGATCATGCCACCGCATTCCAGGCTGAGTGACATAGCAAGACCTTGTCTCTAAAAACAACAAAAAAAAACAAGCAATATTTTAAAAAGCAAATCAATGTGTTCTCTCACCTAACTGCTTTGAAAAATGTACCAATGAATGATCTCCAGCTAACTCAAGGAATAATCCAAATAAAGAAGGCAAAAACCCCAGAAAATAGGGGTTCCAACCCAGGAGTGGAGAGAAGGGGTATCCCTCTATGGCAGTTTGTAGAAGATGCTGTTGATGTCCTATCCAGATCTCTAATGGCCCACAGTTCCTTATTTTCCATAAAACTGCCCTTACTTAGAAATAACTGGAAAGTTGTGCTCCCCACCCCCCATGGGTGCCTGAGCCCACAGCGAATGACTGAGTTGGAGTTACAAAAGCACAGCCTCCTTACCTCAAAGTGGAACAACTCTGTGGTGTCATTCATGCCTCAGAGCTTCCTGTGGATCAGTCTGAGGTTACAATCCAGCTGAATATGCGACCTTTCTTGTTTTTCCCCCTAGCCTATCCTCTCCTCTCTTCCTTTTGGTTTTTAGCTGAGAGCTCCCCATTGATAAATCACAAAGATCTCCAACTCGGATTTTGCTTCTTGGGGACCCAACCTAAGATAGTCTAAAACAACAGTCCAGCTAAGAGCAGAAGGATGCAGGAAAAAATAATGCAGTGAAGCAGGGCATAGTAGCTCATGCCTGTAATACCAGCACTTTGGGAGGCCAAGGCTCACCTGAGGTCAGGAGTTTAAGACCAGCCTAGCCAAAATGGCAAAACTCTCTCTACGAAAAATACAAAAATTAGCAGGTGTGGTGGCACAGGCCTGCAGTCCCAGCTACTTGGGAGACTGAGGCATGAGAACTACTTGAACCCAGGAGACAGAGGTTGTAGTGAGCTGAGATGGCACCACTGCACTCTAGCCCGGGCAGCAGAGCAAGACTCCATCTTAAAAAAATGCAATGAATATTTGAACATGTGGAGAATATTGATAAGCATGTGCCAGATCAGATGGAGCAACTGGACATGAATGCAAAAACTTCACCAAATTGGAAAAGAAAGGCAACTATTAATTCTGGGAAAAACAAAAAGTTGTACTAAACAAGAAATGTAATCATATAGTAAACTACTTGGCTCAGCTAACTAAGAATAATTTATATTGAGAGAATGGAGAAGGAGAAATGAGGAGACGGAAGAGGATGGGAGCTAAGTCCTCACTTACCACAATAGAAAAGCAGTAGATAATATCTAAAGGGTACAGTCAAATATATGCATAATCCCAGTAAGTAGAATAAAATGAAGACCACAAACAGCATTGTATCAATTCAGATCAGATTTTGCTGCCAAAAACTCCTGGTTTTTTGAGCTTTTTAGATTTGAGAATAATACTGACTTAAAAAACACACACACACGCGCGCGCATGTACTTTACTTTCAATATCAAGTACATCTTTGTCTTGGGTTGATCAGTTCAATCCACATAACCATACACATGGATGCCTTGAGTTGGATAAAGATAAAAACTAAGAGAATGTAGCCAGCTGGCAAAAAAAAAAATAAAATAAAATAAAAGTTTTTCTTTTTTATTTGGTCAGATTTTTTTTTTGGAAAAATTTACTATTATTATTATTGTTTTTGTAGAGAGGGAGTTTCGCTATGTTGCTCAAACTGGTCTCAACTCCTGGGCTCAAGCAATCAGCGTGCCTTGGTCTCCCAAAGTGCTGGGATTACAGGCATGAGCCGCTGTACCTGGTCTTGTTTTCAATGCTTCTAAATAGAGCATTAAGATGAGGACAGAGAAAAAAAGTGTTAGACCTGGAGCTTCATCCAAAGAATCTGTCCAATGATTAACAACCATCTACTCACCTGGGCTGCCCAAGGGGATGAAGTAAGGGCCCCAGGTCCTTACTCAATCTTACCTTGAGAGCATCTGGTTGAGCAAAGTATGTGAGCGCTCCGATCTTTATGGGTACCCAGATGTCCATCATCTGTGCTGCAATGTGGCTGAGTGGGAGGTAGCTGACCACCATCTCATGCTTTTCTGTCAGTTTCAAGTCCTTTGCCACTGCTCCTGCTGTCCACGTGATCTGTAACATAAGGAATAATCCAGGGTGCCTCACCCTCACATTAGGGCCATTTCATTTTTAAATTTTTTATTTATTTAATTTTCAGACAGGGTCTCACTCTTGTTACCCAGACTGGAGTGCAGTGGTGTGATCACAGCTCACTGCAGCCTCAAACTCCTGAGTTCAGGGGATCCTCCCATCTGAGCCTCCTGAGTAGCTGGGACTACAGGCACACACCACCACACCGAGTTAATTTTTTTAAAACTATTTTGTAGAGAGGGGGTCTCGCTATATTTTCCAGCGTGGCCTCAAAAGTGCTAGGATTATAGGTCTGAGGGACCATGCCTAGCCTGGAGGCCCATTTTAAATGTATTTAGTGAAATAAATAAATAAATAAATGTAGTGAACACTTATAAAGCACTTTCTATGAGCCAGACAGTTTTCATACTTTACAAACACCAAGTCATTTAATCATTGTAACACTTGGGGGTCAGTAACTATAATTCTTCCTGTTTTACAGATGTGGAAACAGAAACACAACATTCCTGCTGGCTCAGAACAAGGAGCTAGTGCATCCCCTGCCCCTACCCCTGAGACCTCAGTGCACCCCATCGTGATCTCTTTTCTGCTACCTCCATCAGGGTATGCATGCCTACCTGGCACCAGCCTATCTGCTGGCTCTGACTTTTAAGTGCCACCTACTGGACTGCAGCCTGCATGGCACCACCAAACAAAACTTGCTACTGGAAGGGTTTATTGACAGTGCATGAGATAAGCCTCCTGAGACCTCAGCACCCTCAGTCCTGAGGGGAGACAGTGTTGGCTCTTATGTCCAATACATCTTTACAACAAGCAGCATTTGAGAAAGCCACTACATAGAAGCTATCCACAACCATGGAACCCATACAGACCTTTGGCCCCCAAAAGCACTCAGAAGCAATAGGCCATACAATCATACACAACATACACCACAGCCATACCCTCAAGGGAAAATAGAATTTAAAAATACAAAGGTCTCATCCAAACAATAGAAAATCCAAAAATAAGAAGTGACAGCTCCCTCGGATAAGAAGGAATCAGAGCAAGAATTCTGGCAGTAGAAAAACCCAGAGTGTCTGAACACCTCCAAAGAATCTCACCAGTTCTCTAGCAGTGGGTCCTCACTGGATTGAAATGTCTGAAATGACAGATAAAGAATTCAAAATATGGATTGCAAGGAAACTTAGGTCCAAGAGAAAGTTGGAATCCAATATAAGGAAACTAGAAAAACACTTCAAGATATGAAAGACAATATAGATGTATTAAGAAAAAACCAGTTGAACTTCTGGAATTGAAAAATTCACTATAGAAATTTATAGTTGGGCCGGGCGCAGTGGCTCACGCCTGTAATCCCAGCACTTTGGGAGGCCGAGGCGGGTGGATCACGAGGTCAAGAGATCGAGACCATCCTGGTCAACATGGTGAAACCCTGTCTCTACTAAA